TTTCTTTCTTTCTTTCTTTCTTTCTTTCTTTCTTTCTTTCTCCCTTCCCTCCCTCTTTCTCAGGGGTGGGATTCAAATTGTTTAACAACCGGTTCTGTGGGCGTGGCTTAGTTGGTGGGCATGGCTTGGTGGTCATGTGACTGGCTGGGCGTGGCCAACTCAACATCACTCACATTGAGGCAGGCATCTCCTCGCCTGGCCTCTCATGACTGTGGGGATGCTGCAACAGTCGTAAGTGTGAAAAACAGTCATGTCACTTTTTTCAATGCCATTGTAACATTGAATGGTCACTCCACACAATCAAAGTACCAGCAAAGGAGGGGGAAAAAAACCTCCAGAGAAGTTCCTGAGACAGGAAGTCTAGTCCTGCCAAGAATGGAATAAGGGTTAGTGGAGAGGCAGTTTCTTAAGCAACACCAGAATGTTTCCTTACTGCCTTCCTTACAGGATTAGCCCAGTAATTTCTGTTTAGAATGTTAACAACCATTTCTAGTGAATAGGTGCGAACCGGGAGAGTCCCACCCCTGCTCTTTCTATCTCCCTTTCCTCCCTCCCTCACTCTTTCTCTCTCTTTCTCTCTCTCTTTCTTTCTCCCTTCGATCCCTTTATTTCTGTCATCGGGAACTACCAATTCGCCAAACTGTATGTAAAATTAACATCCAGTTCACCCGAACCAGCCCAAATCAGCTGAATCCCAGCCCTGGTTCGCCCCCACCCTTCTTTGGGGCAGCCCCTCGGATCGAGGCTTGTCATTGCCGCTGTCCCTGATGCCTGGTTAGTGCTACCGTCCCCTCTTCCCCCCCCCCTCCGTCTCCGTGGGGCCGTTGGAGAAAGAAGCTTTGCGCCACTCCTGATAGAGTTTTATTAGCCAGATAAATGAGCTGTCATCGGCAAATTTATTTCCACTGAGGATTTAGTTGTGCTGGGCTAATAGATGGTGGAGATTTGAATTTTAATGGATGATGCCCTTCAGCCTAATGAAGTAATTTCTCTTCTCTCGTGGGAGGAAAGGAGGGATGGATCAAAAGATAAACAGCTTTCTACCCAGACCCTCCAAATGAGTTGAGGGTTGCCGGAAGAACGGCTGCAGGAACTGGCTGGTCTAGGGAAGAGAAGGACCAGGGGAGACAGGAGAGCATCTTCCGATAGTTGAGGGGCTGCCCCAGAGAGGAGGAGGAAGGGGGTCAAGCTATTTTCCAAGGCACCCGAAGGCCAGACAAGGAATCATGGATGGAAAATGAACAAGGAGAGATTCAACCTGGAAATAAGGAGGAATTTTCTGACAGAGAGAACAATCCACCCATGGAACAGAAGTTGCCTTCAGAAGTTGTGGGAGCTTCATCCCTGGAGGCTTTCAAGAAGAGGCTGGACTGGCATCTGTCAGAAATGGTGTAGGGTCTCCTGCTTGTGCAGGGGGTTGGACTGGATGACCTACAAGGTCCCTTCCAACTCTGTTAATCTGTAAAGGTGTGGCTGTGCACAAGGCAGAGGAATATAGATAATCCGTGACTTACAACCACAATCAAATGTCGGTTACTAAGCGAGACAGTTGCTCTGTGAGTTTCACCCTGTTTTACAAACGTTGTTGCCACTGTTGTTAAGCAAATCGCTGCCAGATTGTTTAGTGTGTCGCACGATTGTTAAGTGAAACCGGCTCCACCCATTGGCTTTCCTTGTCCAAAGGTCGCAAAAAAACCATGTATAATTTGTTTTTAAAAGAATTGTTGGGGTCCGGAGGCTAACACACTAACACACACACACACACACACAAAATATCTATCTATCTATCTATCTATCTATCTATCTATCTATCTATCTATCCATCGATCTCTATCAATCTATCCACCTATTCATCTCAATCTATCTATTCATCTATCTATTCATCTATCTATCTATCTATTCATCTATCTATCTATCTATCTATCTATCTATCCATCCATCCATCCATCCATCTGTATCTATCTTTCTATCTATCCACCCATCCATCTCAATCTATCCATTCATCTATGTATCTATGTATGTATGTATGTATGTATGTATGTATCTATCTATCTATCTATCTATCTATCTATCTATCTATCTATCTATCTATCTATCTATCTATTTATCCATCCATCTCTATCCATCCATCAATCCATCCATATCTCTATCTATCTATCTATCTATCTATCTATCTATCTATCTATCTATCTATCTATCTATCTATCATCTATCTAGCTATCTATCCATCTATATCCATCCATCTCTGTCTATTTATCTATCCACCCATCCATCTCTATCTATCTATCCACCTATTCATCTCAATCTATCCATTCATCTCTATCTATCTATCTATCTATCTATCTATCTATCTATCTATCTATCTATCTATCTATCCATCTCTATCCATCCATCAATCCATCCATATCTCTATCTATCTATCTATCTATCTATCTATCTATCTATCTATCTATCT